TGGACAACGGCCTCGCACAGGGGTCCCCAGTTAGCCCAAAGGGCCGGACACAGGGCCGCTCCTCTCCATGCTCCCTGTTCCGGTCACTCCCACACCCCCAGGGACAACAAGGCCACCTTCCGGGCCTTGCCCTTCTTTCAGGAAGGCTCCAAACTTTTGGGGGCCAGAGCCAAGCTCCAAATTTGGGGCAGTGTCCTTTGGGGGGGCCAGAGCAGAGTAGAAAGTAAAGGCTGTCCCTCCACCCGCCCCACCTCCAGCCAGACACAGGGACTAGCTCGGGGGGGCGGGGGGGCGGGGGGGCTGCTGCCCAGGCTGAGGCTGGGGGCCGGGGACCCCGGGGCCGCGCGCGGGGGGACGCGGGCGCCGACGAAGCGGTGCAGCGCCACGACTCCTCCTACGGTACCTTCGCCGGGGAGTTCTACGACCTGCGCTACCTGTCAGAGGAGGGTGAGGCTGCGGGGGATAGAGGGACGCGGGAGGGAGACCCGGGGCTTGGGGGGACCCCCCGAGACGGCAACAGGGCGGGACTGGGGTGTGGGTGTGGGGTGAGAATCGAGACGGCTAGAGCACAGCAGGCACCAGAATGCGGAGCATATAGCTGAGACCCCTTCAGGGGGTCTGGAAGAGGGACCCGAAGCGCTGTCAGCACCTTCCACGAGGCTTTACTGCAGGGGGGACCCAAGCCGCTGCCGGCTTTACTGGTGGGAGACCAAACTGGGAGAGCGAGGTGGTCGGCCAACTCCCCAGGGCCCCGCCTGGGGTCTCTCTGCAGCTTGCCTCCACTCAGTTGGGGATGGGTTAAGGGATGTGAGATCAGGGCAGCTGGTGAGGAGACTGCCCGATTTGAAGAGCTTTGCCTTCTTTCCTCTCTGCCTGTTCTGCCCTACATTTGCAGTGACCAGAGCCCTGGCCTTTTCAGCATTCTGTTTCTGCTCATGGCTCTGCTGTCAGAGCGCTTCCACCCATGTCCCCACTTCCGCCCCACTTGCCTTCTGTCATGGCACATGTTATGGTCCCCTGCTGTGAGCCACCATTGTTGGGGCCTGCTGGGTCCAGAGACTTGGGGGGTGAGGGGAGGTGTCAGCTACAGGACTCCCTGCAGAGCTGTTTCAGTGGAACGAAAGCCAGAATGATTCTGTTCGAAGGGACGGAAACTGGCCTGTTCTGCAGTTTGGAAGAGTGATTTCCGTTATCTTCTGCTAAGAGGAGTATCCGAGATTCAAACTGGGTGTTGAAATGGCATGTGCCCCAGCAACTAATATGGTGCTGAGTATATCTTTTATTTAGGATTAGTGTCTGGCTGCTTGCACAAATATTAATGGCTTAGACAGAAGTTTTCCTGCCATGTAGAGAAATCTGGAAGTGATAGTCCAGAAGGGGTATGGAGGCTCCTGCTCATCAATGATACAGGGTCTTGGGTATTCAGATTCTTCACAGTTCTTAGCATATAACCTCAGGGCCCAAAAATAGCTGCTTGATCTCCAGCCCTTACACTGACTTTCCAGGCAGTGGGAAAGGGAAGGTGGGAAGGAGAAGCTTACTATTTTATTTTTTTTATTTATGCATAAAGAACTGGGATACAGGCCAGAGGTGGAGGGGCGGTGAGAGGATCCACCAGAGACAGAATGGGGAGCAGAACAGGCTGACTGACAAGTACACTGCTGAGGGGAGCAGCAGGTGGGTCAGGAGAGGTCTGCCGTGCCATGTGGGTCATCTCCAGGGTGGGACTGAACTCATGCTGAAGTGGCTTTAGCTTCTTAGTGCTGTGCTCTAACCTGCTACACCACCAGGGAGGGCCCTACTGACTATTTTAAAGGGAGATTATTATAACAGTCTATTTATACTTTATTGGCCACAACTTAATCCATGTCATCACCACTAGAGAAGAAGGATACTGGGAAGCCTTTTCACGGGGAAGTAATATGCCCAGCTCAAAAATCAAATTTACTAGATGAAGAACAGTGGACAGGATGGATTTGGGGAGTTGGGTAGTGGTTCAAATGACTGGAACAGGAACCCCAAATACCTTAAATAAGATTGTTCATTTTCTCTCATCACTGGTCTTAATGGGTAGGACAATTCTGTTCCACAAGGGTCATTCAGGTACACAGCTTCTTTTCCATCTTGTCTCACAATCCTTTATGACTTTGTCCACGTCTCTGTAGTAAAAGTCAGGTTTTCATATTGTTCAGTTTTAGGGGAAGGAGAAATGGAAGACATTCAAGACAAGGGTTAACCTGAACTTGCACATATCACTGCTGCTCACATTCCTGTAGTAAGAACAAGATGACATGGCCTACCTGCAAGGGAGGCTGGGAAAGGTAGTTTGCTAGCTGGGTTCCCATGTGAACAGGGAGAAGGAGAGAATGGGTGTTGGGAGTAAGACATGCAAAAATAGAACCTGTCATTCTGAGAAAGAATGAGCATTGCAAAGCCCTTTTGTTTCTGAAGGGACCACTTGCGTATTTACTCTGTTTTCATCAGTCTAGCACACTATCAGGTGGCTCACACACAGCACTTGAGAACTTCGATTCTCACTGGATGCAAGAGCCTAACAGAGAACATGCTCAAGATACTATACCTTAGTTTGCACAACAGAGGGAGTGAACGTAGTTGTAGAGTCCAGTTTTATGAACAACCGGTGCCTGCAGCTGCGCCTTGTGTATCACCTCCAGAGCAGAGATCAAACTCTCGTAAGTAGCTGTGGCCAGCTTGCAGTGCTTCATCTTAATCCATTGTGCCACCAGGGAGGGCCTAATATTTGTTCTTTTTTTTTTTTTTTTAAAGATTTATTTATTTATTTATGCATACAAGAACTGGGATACAGGCCAA